TGGTCCCCAAATAATTAGTGAATTATAGTGGTCCCCAAATAATTAGTAGATAGAAACGTCAAGTCAGTGATGGGAACCGTGCTCCAAGTCGTTGCCTGGGAGTGGCCCCACTCCCGCCGCTCGAGGTGGCTCCGCTCGACGGCTTTGTGCACGCCGTGGTGCTGGAGGAGCATCAGCCGCAGGCGACGGAGCGTTCGTGTAGACGTCCCGCTCCCGGCGGTGGAATCGGATTGGAGGAGGGTTGGGGCAGTGAACGTCAATGTTGGGATCATGTGCATTCTCTTTTTTTTGGGAGATGAGGGAGATCAAAAGGAAGACAGTTGGATGCAAGTGGTTTTTGTGTGATTTTTAGTTGAGGGATGGCCCAACTATGTTTCTAACTACCTCAATCAGGTTTCATGTGCAGGTTTCTCAGAAAACCCTCTGGTCTGTTTATGCTCCCACTGAAAACCTCGTGTTGACTGTGGGAAAATTCGGACCAACCAACCAGTTTTCCAGCCTAAGTGAAGGGCCTTCACTGGATGCAGTCGGTAAACCTACCCTTTTGGCCCCATCCCACCTTTTTTTTACACCCTAAGAATCCTTGGGCTCTCCATGGCAGGGGTCGGACCCTCCATAGCAGGGGTCCGGACCCTCAAAACCCTATGTGTTTGAGGGCCCGGATTCTGAGGGCACATCATATGTTTCATTCACCTTAACTGAATTATCATAAGAATGCGTGTGGTACCGCAACCCTTCGACGCACCACTGAAAGCCGAATCCCGCAGACCTCGATCGGCTCGCGCTCCGCGGTGGCCGGCGGGAGGGTGGCACCTTGGATGATGCCCAAAGCAGCTCGGGGGTCCCAGAGCCGGCATGGGCTTGGTTGTTGGGATGGTGAGGTCGTTTCTGGTTGGACTCCAGGGGTCAAAGGCCGGCGTTGGAAGCGGTGTGTACATTGAATGTATGGAGTGGGGTCGGGTAGGACGAAAACACTCATAGTGTTCATTTGGTACATCCATAGCCCATGGGGGACGACTTCGGACATCGGGGGCAAGTGCTTGATAATTCATAGCGCGGCAGCTACAGGCATGAGCCCTAGGCGCGAGCAATGCAAAACATGCATCCATAGCCCTAAAGAAGTCCAGTTCGACGATCTTTGTCACCACCCCAAGTGTTCAGGACATTCCTTGCACATCCTTGGACTTGGGTCACCTAGGACCCGCCCTGACCGGGGGTCACAGGCTGGTCCCTCTTCGGTCGAACACGTCCCGAGGTTGGGATCCCTGGGCGGAAACGCCTGCGGCTTCCGTGCCGGGCATCTGGTGGGCGCGACTGGCGCCGGGAGAGGTGCTGCGGGTGCCAAGAACCTGGTGGCTGACGCTGCGTGCGGCCAGGTGGGGCGAGGTGGTAGGTGGTAGGTGGTAGGTGGTAGGTGGTGGTGGGTGGTGCCGAATTCAAGAAGATGACTGAAGGTAATCGAGATTCTAATTTATATATATATATATGAAGTAGTTGGGACTGGGGAGTCCCTTCCACTTGTTTCTGCTTGGAACGGGGTTTCCAGTTAGATCTGGTGTGGTCTTTCAAGTCAAAGGAGGGTTTGTTCAATGTGGGCTTGTTGGCCATGTAAAAACGAACAGATCGGAGCCAATGACAATTAGACCTTTCTTCCATTTCTTTTTTCTTTGTTACTAGCAATGGCCTCCAACCTACCTTTGCTGACCTGACCCGACTTCTAGATCTGCCATCCTTGACCTGTTTGTCCTCCGCCGCGTGTCAGCCATTGCCTCAACCACCCGAGTTCACCGCGCGTGCCTCGTCCGGGGGGGGTGCTACGAAGCGCGGCGGGCCATGGCGTTGCCCAGCCCGGCGATACCGGAAGATATGGCGCCTGGGCATGGCTGCAGGGGTTGGAGGACTTTGGGCTCCTCTTTTTGGGGGACCGAAATAATCAGGAAATCAGGCAATCCTGGCGACTCAGGAGGCAACGCCACAAGTGAAGAGATTATCCCTGGCGCGCTCCCCCTTACTTCGGCCGGGGTCGGCGGACTCTGATGAAATGACTGAGAACTCTCTGAAGCAAGCTTCACCCCCGCGTGATAAGGAGGTTCTTTCGCCTCCCAGACCAGGTTGCGGCCGGTGTGGTGCTCCAGGTGGCTGACCGGCTGTCCCGTTGCCCGACCAAGGCGGCCTTTGATGAGGAAGAAAACGAGGCGTCCGTCGGTCCTACCGGAGCATCTGATTCGTTGGCCGGTTCGAACGGTATGAGTTGCAGAAGACCGACATGGTGGGTTTGAAGCCAGTTGAAATGCGCAAGTTCAACCTCAGGGGAGTTGAAGTTGGTGGTCTGTTCGGCCGTAACACGACTTCTTACTTGGTCACCATGACCATGAGGTTCTCAAGCAGTAGCAAAAGAACAGCTGCCTATCCTGGTTTTGCTTAAGGTGATTTATTTTTTACCATATGAGTAAATCCCCCTTCCGGGTGGAATCTTTTTGTTCCCTGCTCCTGTTTTTTCAGCAAATCCAAGCTGATTCGCCCCCTCCGGTACCGGCGCCCTGTCCCGGTCTGTACCCCCGTCTCTTTCGCGGTTCGCTCGCGGAGCTCGCTGGCCAGGTGCGAGGCACCTTGGTCTTCCGGCCGCCGGTGGAGATTCTGCCGAAGACCCGGAGGACCGAGGAGATGCAGAAGCGCAAGATCGCCCCTCGGCGTGGGCGGGCGTTTGGAGCGGCGTTTGTGGGAGGGGCGGCGTTTGGGGTGGGAGACACTGTCCGGACACTCCGCCGCGGCGCGGCGTGGCGTGGGCCGACGGGCGGAAACAGAAACATAAACAGACACAGGCAGACAGATAGATAGACAGACAGTGGCTCTTATTGTTTCAAACATATTGTGATTACTAGATTACTATTACTATTGTTACTATGTATTACTATTGTAAGCCTTTGTTTGCACCAAACGAGCATTTTGGCCCGAGAGCCCTTTCCTCCAGGCACTCTATACTGTTTCACAATGGAAATTCGAGCACTTTCAGGTGCCATTGTCGCCCAGCTTCGTGAAGAGGAAGTGGGCTGTTTGGTGGAGAGTGGACAATCTGTCAGGGATCTGAAGAATCTCCTGAGCGTCCGGTGCCTTGGAGGAACCTCAAGATTTCGACAACGGCTCTTGGCTGAAGAGATGGGCGAGCTGCAGGATGATATGCCTGTCGGACAACTACCACCAAGTTTGCAGTTGGTAGTCTTGGACTATTGTGCGCCTCAGGAGGCTGTTTGGCAGGCACTACTCTCTGCGTGTGGGACCAGTCGAGTTGTTGAAGTTGCAAGTTTGCTTCAGAAACCATTGGATCCCAATTGGACAGGTGCAGACACTGACCGTCCACCTGGTTGTTGCTAGAGGCTGGAGCTGACGAGAATGCTGCAAGGGCAGATGGGATCACCGCCTTGATGGCTGCAGCTATCTGTGGCCGCTTAGACATGGTTTAGTTGTTGCTATAGGGCAAATGCAGACGGGGATACCGCCTTGATGGCTGCAGCTCTGATGGGACACTTGGAAGTTGTGGACTTGTTGCGCTGAGAGCGTGCAGAATGGCAGCTGCTCAACCGGCAGGGGTGACCTGTGGGTGGGTGGAGTCATGTTGAGGGGCATTAGGAGTGGATGGTTTGGGGAGAGGTGATGAAGGGAGCCATGAAACAAACGGATTTCATGCGAGGCAACAAAAAGGAGTTGATGTGGTGGGGCGAACATGGGTGGGGGCGAAAACCGTTTCATCAGGAGAGGTGTGGATGTCTTGGCGATTTTTGGGGGTGGACCTGGCTTCAATGCCTTGGAAAATAGGACATAGACACAAGAAAACAGGTATACTTGGAGTACTTGGATGCGTATTCTTGGGTGTGAAGTCAAGGAATAGGCTTTTTCATCCGATTTCAAGCAGGCAACTCCAGACGAGCGCGTCGCGAAAGCGTCTCAGGGAGGCCTCCTCAGGGGGCGGCGGCGGCCGACCCCCGACAGACCCAAGCACATAACAAAGCCCTTGTGACGTGAACGTAGCTTCTTAGCTACGTTCGTAGGTTCGATGCCCTTGTGATTCGATCTCAATGTCCTTTTGCTAGTTTCCAAGACGACTGATGTGCCCCCGATCTTTGAGCCCCGATGTCGCCGGTTCCACCACCGCTTCCACGGGTCGTTCCGATTTCGCTCGCCCCCCCGCCGAACGGAGCGAGAGCGATGCGATGCTCAGGAACTGCTGAAGAAGCGAAAAGAGGATGCCGAAAACCTTCGAAAAGAGAAGGACGATGAGGGATTTTTGTTGTTCGAAGGGTTTTTAGGGATGTTGTTTGGGGAAAAGCTTGCCATGGTCTAAACGATGAGGGACGATGAGGGATGTTCGTTCGAAGGGTTGACAGGGGTTGAGGGATGGGACGGGATGTTGTTTGGGGAAAAGCTTGCCATGGTCATCTAAACCCGTTGCTTCGTTGCTGAAGGTAATGCTTTTATCCCACCTCACTGGATTCCCAATGTTCAGAGAATGCCCCTGAGAACTTGAAGGATGCATTCCATTTTTGGTCTCAAGAAATGCACTCAGGTGACCAACGTGCACTTGTTTGACCAACGTGAGTGAAATCCTTGCGTGTTCTTCATTGATTTGACTCTTTTGCCTCGCAGATGTCGATGGAAACGATGGAAACGATGTCGGCTCGGTGTGAATCAAGCGGGTTCCGCTTGACATCCGACGCAGCTCTCCGGCAGAGGTTGTTCGCCCACATGCTCGGCACGTCGATGTCCGGCTTGCTTCAGGAGAAGCAAGAAGCTCAGAGACGACAACAAGAGCTGCAGGTGGGAGTTCTCGGGGCATCATGTGTTCCTTTCTTTTTGTGGTGTCCTCCCTCTAAAGTTCCATCTGCACATCACGCTGCATTTGGTGTAGATGAGTGGAGTTAAGCAGAGAACCACATCCACAGCGCTGGCTACCAGATCACCCATGGACGCTTGCCGCCGCGCTTTCCGCCGCGCACGCGCACGCCCCCAAACAGCGGTGGTGGCCGCCGCGTTCGTGGCTGAAGTGTTGTTTCGTGCGATGGAAGCGAGGTGAAGAAGGAAAAGCAGCGCCTGGAACAGCAGAAGAAGGCCTGCAGCAGCCCGGGAAGGGGGGAGCGCCGCAGGGAGACCGGCGGTGTGGTGCAAACAGCTGGGAGACCGGCGGCGCTGGGGCGAACGGGACCTCTCTGAAGGGGTTTTGGGTGGGGGTTTGGTGGGTTTTTTTCAGGCTTATGCTTTTTCCTAGCGGTCCTTGGGGTCAATGCACCATGTTTTCCGGCCACAGAAGGGTCAATGCGGCAGACACTTGCCAGGGAATCGGTCACACGCAGAGATGCAGTCGTTCCGAACAGCGTTTTCTCGCTGAGGCCGAAGAGCGCAAGCGACGGGAGGAGGAAGAGCAGCGGAAAAAGATGGAGGGTGGTTTAGATCGGATCCTACATTCACTGCTCCTTGGCAGGAAGCCATCGGCATGGTCAGATGGAGGGGGAGTCTCGTGTGAGTCTCGTGTGTCGGAATGCGTGTGAGTCTCGTCACCCTCTGAGCCTCGCATCCTTCTGTGGATCGAAGTTCTATTGAACCCGGAGTGTTCGTCGGGGTGGTTCATGGAGTCCGCACTCCAGTCGAACGGGACTGGAAGGAGCCATTCAGTTTCACTGATTCATCCGGTAGGGTACCACATTCCGGGTCTAAGAGACTTGTCCAGCCACCACGGTCGTGTCCAACGGTCTTCCAGCGGTTTCCGAAGCGTTTCCGAAGGAGCCGCCCGACTTGGAAGAAGCCGACCTGCTCGACACGGACATCCAAAGAATTATTCAGACTCTTCCGAAAACAGCGTGTTGGAAGACCACACCCAGAAATGATCAGCCCCAAGACTTCTTCATATCATATCACATCATATCGCATCATATTATCGCCTCATCACTTCTTCTTTTGGGACGGACGAAACACAAAAAACATTTCGACCTACACCTATACACCTTCTCCCTACCACGGGAAAGATCGGCAAAAAACCTCCTCCCTCCTCGCGTTGGATCGCTCGCTCGCTGGCGAACCGAGGATGAAGAACGTCAGTGCGCCCGACATCACCGTCTGCGGCATCGACCTGAATCCCGCGCGGCTGCGGCTCCTGGCCAAGAACCTCTCGGAGAACACGTGGCTCGGCGCCGAAGGCGGCCATCGATGCCGTGGTAGGAAGTGCCCTAGGTCTAGGTAGCTGCTGAACATTTGGATTCCATGAATGGTCCCAGTGAAGGAAAGGAAGTTGCTTTGGATCCTTTTAGGGCCACCGACACTAAAGACCTTGGACTCCCAGGGAGGGTAGTTACTAACTAATAACTAATACGACTTGCGCATGCGATGGGGAGAAGACCGGTCGAAGGAATCAGGAGAACACTCATAAGATCCACACATGGTTGCAAATAGGACCCTGGAACCTCGAAGAGGCTTCTCGAAGAGGCTTTCCAATCAGGGGAGTGGATGGGTAACCCATAGACTAACTTATGACCTCCAGATCCCCAACCGAACCGAACCTCCCCCGGGAACCCCGGTTCCGGTCTCCTCCCGGTCTCTCCTCTGGGCGGTCCCAGGTCCTGCCGCTCCATCGATCTCAACCGCAAGGGCTTGATCGACGATGACGGCGTCTCCTTGGCCGGCATGTTGGAGAAGAACCAAGGCGGTCGGGGGGGCTCCATCGGTCGCCCCGAAGCGCCGGTGCGCACGGTCCAAAGACGCGTGTTGAAACGGGTGGTGCAGGGCTTGGTTTGGGGGAGGTTGGTGTGCTAAGAGGTTGGAGGGCGTGGAAGGCTTTTCTTTGGGGGGGGAGAGGACCACCAATTGTGGTCATGGCATGTTCCACGGCCCGACCGCCCAATATTCCGGGGTTCGGCCCCAATCTTGTCTTCGAGCATTGCTGATGCAGAAAGTGACTATAGGGTATGATTGCTCAAGAGGGAACCAACAAAGGTTGAAGGAAAAAGACATACCAGGACCATCCAAGGGGTGTCCTGGCTGAACTAATTACCCCACACCTATCCCACTAGGCTTCCAGACAGGGCACCCCGACAGGATGGTCCAGGTAAAGACTATCGCAGACCCGGACCTTCCAGACAAATCTAGACCAGGTTTTTGGACACCCCCGAATCAGCCGAGTGTGTCTTCGCGGCGCCTCTTTTTTCGAGCGTGTAGACGTCGGCGTCGGTCCTGGTGGAGACGGACCCCAGGTGAGGGGCCTTTTTGGAGGTCACTTGACCTCTCTTGGAAGGCTGAGACAGCCAGAGTGAGTTGAAGAGCGAGTCTGGACACCATTTTCTTCGGGGCAAATCGAGTGGAGGGATTTCCACGCTGAAGTCTACTGAGGTCCTTTGTCAACGGAAGTTCAGCCAGGCTACCTGTAGATGAGAGGTGTAGCTGCAGAAACGGTCTGCATATGTGGATACTGTGGATACTGCATTGGTTGATTGTAGCCATCTGCAAGCTTATAGGCATTCCCACTCTATGCTGAGCGCGCTTGTTCTTTTTTCTTTTTTTTTGCGCCGGTGTGCAAAGCCATTCCGAAGAAACTCCAACCAGCAACAATTTTGCAATCTCAATCCGAAGAGACTTCACCCAGCACTGATTGGCCCACGGTGTCACTGTGGAAAACATAGCAGTGTACTTAGAGATCCTGCCCCAGAAACACCAGCAGTCCGCTTACTCCGCCGGCTACAGCCCCTCACTTCGCGGGCCGTTTCACCAGGCCTCCTGAAGTTGGAATGCGAGGGCAACAACCTCGGCGTGCAAGCGGCTGAAAAGATAGGCGGGTCGGGCGCCGGCAGCGCTTTTTCGGCGGTGTCGGCGCGAGCCGCGGGTCCAAGCTCGGTGAACAAAATGCGGGGCGGGTCGATGGGCGAAGAAGCTAACTGTGGAAGGATGGAATTGGACCTGTCAAAAGGGGTGGATCATAGAGATCTACTACTAGGACCTTCCAGCAGGTGGTTCTTGGACACTCCTTAAGCTCTAAGAGGCTATTTACAGACACCTCTTGGAAGGTCCTGGTAGTAGAAGTTTTGGATTGGTGCCAACGTGGCGGAGGCTGAACTGTACAACACGACGTCCGAATCGCGATCAGGCGAAGCGCTGCGGAAGAACGACACGCTGCGAAGCCTGTGCCTGGCCTTTGGGAGCTTTTCAGATCTTTTCAGATTCCATGTGAACAGTCACCTGCGACATGTTTTCGCGGGGGGGTTCAGCCGGGCTCAGCACTGAATCAGCGCAGATGTGCCGGAATCAGCAGGTTCCATCTTCGAGGCCTTCCGTTCACGATCCCGTCCCTCCCCGGTGTTGTCTCATTCCTTCTTGTATCCGTCCGTGCAACGCGCATGGCGCCTGGTCAACGAGGAACTTGGAGAGCAACAACCTCACGGCGAGCGGAGGTGTTCCTCGGTGGGCGTTTGCCCTTGGAGTGTGATGGGTCAGCTGCACTGGTGAGTGGTGGATAGGATGGGTCAAATCATGTCATGCCACGCGGGGTGTTCTGTGGCGTTGTGTGGGTTTTCGGATTTTTGTTGGGCCAAGTGTGGGGCATTGGGGTGATGGTCATGTTCTCCTTTTCCCAAGACGTGCCAGTCAGGCACCCACGCAACAGCGAGCTCGGGCACATGGACAATTTAATTTTTTGGGACTCGACCAGGGCGAGTTCTTTTTTTTCCCGCTCGGACATTGGATATTGACCATCCCATCAAGCACAGCATGCTGAACAGATAATATAAGCCGACTTGGATCGAAATTTGAGAGGGGGAGGGCATGCAATAGCGGTCTTCAGGTTTTTCGACATCCAAAAAGGGGGGGGCATTGGTAACTCCACAGCCTTGTCCGCGCCTCGCGCGCAGTGGCCCCTCACAGCGTTCAGGGTCTTTCGGTCATTTGCTGAGGATCAGAAAGGCATCATCAAGTTGGCAGATGCCCTGCAGGAGAACAAGTCGCTCGGCGGGCTGAGCCGGAAGTGGCGTGGAGATGCCCCCTGTGAGCTGGAGCAGACTTGATTTTCGCATCTCCAACAGCCCCAGTGCCCCCAACCATCCAGATCCACGGCGCCAGAAAGATCAACTCCATAGCCAGCATTACAAGACCAGTTGCCTAATGGGTCGGGCGTTGTGATCTGAAGCTCTTTCAGCTTGAACATCCCAAACTTTGGTGGTTCGACTCCACCCTGGTCTGTTTTTTTTTTTGAGTCGCCCGAGTGCGCCTGGCTAAGTGAACGAAGACCTGAATCAACGGCTCAGATTTCGCCCTCCGCATCAAGTGAAGTCCTCAGCACCTTCCAACTCTCCTCTGGAGGCTTTTGTAGACTTGAGCAGGTGGTGACCTGTTGGAAGGTCCTGATACACAGCTTCTGCATTCCAATCCGATCCAGAACGGCCTCCCACGCCGCCGAGTCTCCGACAGGCCCAACAGGTCCTCCGACGCTGGGCTGGGTCGGCTGAGGTCCCTGAGGGTCTTGATGCTCTCCAAGAACGGCATCACCGCGCAGGCGGAACTTGGCGTTGGCCATGTTGACCGTGCTTCACTTCTTGGTTTTGGGGGGCACCATGTTGACCTTTTGAGAGGTCCAAGGCATTTTCAGAGGGTTTTCTCTGGATCCTTCTCTCCTTTTTTTGGGACTCCGCAGGACTCCCAGGGCACGATGGAGTCGTGGTGGCCCGTCGCCCGCGGAGCACGCCGCCCGCCAGGCGGGGGAGTACTTCGCCCGGGCCATCGAGGCCAATGACAGCCTGACGCTGGTCGACCTGCCTGGGCGGCTCAGGACGCACCGGATGAAGGACGTGGATGAAGGACGTGAACGATATGGATTTTTATTTATATAAAACCCAACATTAGGCCATTTATTTTATATTCTTTACACTTCATTATAATAAGAAAATAGGAGTCATGAAGTGACCACTGAGACGGATTTGGCCCGGCTCATCCTTTCCTTGGACCGAGAGACAGGGGGTTCCAACATGAAAACACCAGGGTTGCTTCTGAATTGGAACCCTTTCTTCATCCTCTAATTTTAGATCCTGAGTGGCTGAGTGGCTGAGTGGCTGACAGGAAGAACATCCGCACTTCCACGTACAATACTATGACCCATTTTCAGCGCCAAAGGCAGACGTTGTCTGCCCACGTCGGTTGGAAGATGCCAGGTCTCTTCCCTTTTTCCCCGGTCCGGGCACATGTGGCATGTGGCCGCGGCCCCCAAAACCCCCGCAATGCACACTGAGGGGGAGGAAGAGAAGCCCCCCCTCCGCCTGTCCCCGGCTCTGCTCGACCCGCTGCGCCCGAGGTCCGGCAACGACGCCTCGCCCTCGGTGGAGCAGCTGCGGCGCATCGACGCCGTGGTGCGGCGGAACCGGGAACGGCTCAGTGGCTCGGCGGGGACCGGGGACGGGGGCGGAGGAGCGACTCAACTGGAAGGGGGGAGTGTAGAGCTAGGTGCATTGGGGGTGAGGGATCGTTTTAGAACATATCACGAAAGCTAGCGAAGCTAGCTGGAGTTACTCTTGCGATAGCAAGGTTTCTTTCGACCGGGTGCAAATCCTAACCCCTGATTTTTCAGGTCGAAGCCCC